AGGTTGCATTCTTGTTGGCCGTACTTCTTTAATTTCCTTCTGTTTCTATCCGCAGTTATTTCTATTTCCTTATTTGAAGCGCCCGTTATTGTGGGCGATAAGCCTCTATTCATTCAAACTTGGTCTTTATTTGATTAATTTAGAATTTTCTTGATGGTCTCGACAACGGCATTAAACACTTAGATCTACATTTTAAAAAAGTTTTTGTCTCGGTATTGCGTTGACTTTGAAATTGTCCCCTCTCAATTTAACCCTGATTTTGAAAGTAATGGGAAACACCGAGCGAACCTCTCACAGTTGAACAATGTGTCACGACGAATCAGGAGAAACTTCAATTTTTTGGCAAAAAGAGAGTGATACCATCTTGAAGCCTGTCCATTTGTGTTGCTTTCGGTGATAAAAATATCTATTAGTCTTGGATAGAAGCCGATGTATTATTTTCCATTGTAGAAGGTGGTAGTCGCTTGGTTTCAGGGGTAAAATTAGCGAGAAATTGGCAACCAATTTTGGTGACTTGCATAGCTTAATAGCTTAAAAATGCAGGTGTCGTCGTTTTCATTATATTTTGACGACCACTGGATTTCACCTCGATGCCTTACATATTATGCTTTATTTCCTTTTTAAAAAAATCAATAACGTTTATATTTTTAAGCATCATTTATAGTTGTTGGTGGGTGCTCTTGTGTGGCTTCCTCCCTCCTTTCCTACCAAACATCGATTGTCCTTTTCACCCATTCTTATTTTTTGTGTTTGTTACTCCCGGGATCCCATGTAACACCTTCAATCTTTGGCATTTTTGTGACCTTATTGTGTTGCAGGTGATGTAAAACTTTACTAAAGCCCACCAAAAAAAGGTTATTTCAGTTTGGTCCTTGTCCCCTGAAAGTTTTTATATAGTAACATCGCCGGCGTTTGACCTGGGTTTCATTTTTTTCCCCTGTCTCTCCACAGAAGTCCAAACTGAGTCAAAATAAACGAACAGACCAAATACTTGGAACGCTGTGAGATCTTCGTGTCCAGTTGTCCAGTTCTCTCCGGTCTTGGATACCGGTCGAAGGCGGAACAAACCAGCCAGCAACAGACGTGCCGTTGCGACCGTCGTATGCAAAACGTGTGACCCCTGACCCCTTGGAAAGTCAGAATAAATAAGGTCAGCCCATCTGCCACACAGAGAGAGTGACCCATCATTCACTTCTGGACATCCGCAGTCACTGCCAGTAGTAAGGAATAAAAGACAGTGAGAGAGACACAGCTCGTGAACAACTGCCTAGCTTGGTTTCTTCACGTCAGTTTACTCTTTCACTCTATCGCAATAGTTTCCAACTTTCTTCTACATTTCAACTGAGTGTAGACAAAATTTTCAAAATTTTCAGCAGAACAACCAGAAAACTGGAACAACAACGAAATAAAAAACATTTAGTTTTCATTCCAGTATATAATTTAAAGGAAGCATATCGGATATCAGCGTGATCAAACTTCGCACAAGGTTGATCAAATCTGTTGAAGAAGCCCCGCAAGCAGCGACCAATCATCACGCTTTTATTTGACTGATTCGTGTTTCAAGAATATAAGATAAAATCGAAACCGGCCCCCTGTAGTTACAGGGAAAATCGTTCGAGATCAAATCGAAACCAAACCCCTTTGAAGTTAATTGAAAACGAAAAATCGTTCGTGTTGCCAAAGTTGGAAGAGTCCTGATAACATCAGTCGTGATGGAAGGTACGAAGCCTGGTTGGCGTACGGCGGTGGACCCCCCATCGTCTGACCGGACCTCGTCGTCTACTCTGGAGTCTCCCAAGTACAAGATGGAGCAGCGGGAGCAGTGGTCCAAGAAGATCGACTTTCTGCTGGCCTGCATTGGCTTCTCCGTCGGCCTGGGCAACGTCTGGAGATTTCCCTTCCTGTGTTACAGGAATGGCGGTGGTGAGTACAGTCACTGTAGTTGTACCTCCTACTTAATATGATGATTGATGGTTTGTCCGTCTTTCTATGGATATTTTTCTTTTTTCGTCCCTGTTTGTCTTTCTTTTTGTCTCTCTTTGTCTTTCTTTGTTTCTCTCTCTGTCTCTCTCTGTCTCTCTGTCTCTGTCTCTCTGTCTCTCTCTGTCTCTCTTTCGTTTTCTCTCCCTCTTTCTCTGTCTCTCTCTGTCTCTCTGTCTCTCTCGCTCTCTCTCTCTCTCTCTCTCTCGCTCTCTCTCTCTCTATATATATATATATATATATATATAGTATTTATGTTTGTGTATGTGTGTATGCTGTATGCCTATTTGAAGGTGGGTTCAGTTTAGTGAAACCGTCAGCAAGTGATATGACTGGAAGGCAACTGCGAACCGTTAGCTTGAGTGAGATTAAGAGAGGGGTGAGAGAGAGAGAGAGAGAGAGAGAGAGAGAGAGAGAGAGAGAGAGAGAGAGAGAGAGAGAGAGAGAGAGAGAGAGAGAGAGAGAGAGAGAAAATCCCTGTATTCAAATTTATGGTAATTCAAACGTGTATTATTATACCGATATTTGGGCAATATGGAGGTCATTAATGTAGTCTTAGGTCGGATTTGTCAACGATGAACCCTCAACCACACATTTAAAAGCGCAATTTCTACGCGCCTCTGTTGCGCTCGGAAAATTTCTTTTCGAATTCAGAACAGGCGTAATAGGTCTTATCAGACAAGGTAAACTCGGTCACTTTTGTGAAAGCTGACTTCTTGTCATTACAATATTTTTCGTGTTTATTTGTTCAGCAATGTCGAGTGGTAGATGGTCAGTGACTGGGTGGGTTTTGTCTTTGAGCACGATATTATGATGATGATACCTTTTTTTAAAAACATGTTTTAAGTGCACATAGGTGACCGGTTTTGATGTGAGACCGTGGAAAACTTAATGAAATTAATGGATACTTTATGCGAGAACACGTATCGCTTGAACCCGATGCCGTCTGTTAGGCTACACATTGTGGAATAGCGAGCTGGCGTAATACTCAACATTGGAATAGCGAGCTTTTGTAATATTCTACTTTAGAATAGCGAGCTAATACTCAACATTTGGAATAGCGAGCTTG